CAGCTTATCGGAAGGTAGGTAAGATAGGCAACCTTCCTTACACCTTTCGACTTTACTATTAAATATCGGGCTAGTAAACGAAATCTAGCCGATGTACCTTTACGACGTAGCGACTACGAGAGCGAGTCGTAGGCGGTAAACAACCTTCTCCCTATATTGTAGTCGAAACTAGCTCTATAGTTAAATCTACCCGAGGATATCGAGCCGATTATAAAACGCATCTCTATTATATACATTAGGATGCGAGACGCTAGTGCAGCGCTAGCGGAACGTAAGAGTTTTATTAGCAGTCCCGCAAGAGTAGCGGCTACTATCGTTAGGAATAACGGGCCCTACTACGAGACACCTAATATAATCCTTAGTTTCGTACGCACTCTATAATAGCTAGAGCAAGCGAGAGGAGGAGGCTTATATAAGACAAGCTTACCGTCGGGTAGCTTAACCTCGTTAAGTAGTTCTAACCTCCCGCCTAGCTATTCTCGTCGTAGTAACCTCATTTACTACGGCGATGCGCTATATGTCCCTAAGGACTACGCATTACGTACGCAACTAATACGTATATACTACGACGACCCTTTAGCTAGACACTTTAGTATAGCTAAGACTATAGACCTAATACGCCGAAAGTACTTCTAGCCGAAGATAGCCGAGGATATTACGGCCTATATCCGCACCTATAGAATTTGTTAATAGTCGAAGGCGAAGCGCTATCGCCTATATAGCGAGCTCGCTACGCTGCCTATACTAACCCGACTATAGCAAGAGTTAACGATAGACTTTATTACCGATCTCCCGCCGAGTAAGCTCGGTGCCTACGTATATACTACGATCCTCGTAATAGTCGACCGCTATACGAAAATAAGCCTCTTTATCCTAACGACGAAGAAGTATATAGTAGTAGAACTCGCGGATATCCTTTAAAGGGAGGTAATTAGGCGTTTTAGAGTACTATCGGGCATTGTTAGCGATCGCGGATCGCTTTTTACTAGCTAGTTTTAGAGCGACTTCTGCTTCGAAGCGTATATAAAGCGTAGGCTTAGTATAGCCTTCTATCCTTAGACTAATAGGCAAACCGAACGCGCGAACTAGACCCTCGAGCAATACCTACGATACTATTACTCTAAGAATTAGGATAAGTAGGCTAAACTATTGCCTTAGGCGGAGTTTGCCTATAATAATAGCGTTTATCCTACGTTGCGTATAAGCCCCTTTAAGATGCTCTACGGCTTTAACCCTAATTTAATGCTAAGCGCAAATGAGCTGCTAGCTCGGGACGAGCTAACTAAAGGAAGGGCACTAGTAGCTATCGACGCTACGGAGCGACTACGGAAAGCATATAAGACGCTTACGGAACGCTAGCAGAAAGTAGCAGAATACTAGGCAAAGTAATACAATGCATACTACACTGCTAAGACATATAGTATAGGTAACCTAGTCTTGCTATCGATAAAGAACATTAGCTTAGATGTCCTAAAGAAGAAACTTAGCCCGAAGTATATAGGGCCTTTCCGCATTATTAACGCAGTTAGAGCGTAGGCGTACCGCCTAGCACTACCGTTAAGCACGAAGATCTACAATGTTTTCTATGTTTCCCTTCTCGAGCCTTAGTATAGGCGCGATAGCGAGGAGTATAAGGTAAGCATGCCCGTCGCTAAAGGCGATAAGTAGCAGGTAGAAACAATCGTAGTAAAGAAGATAAAGAAGCGGAAGGCGTACTACCTTATTAAGTAGCGAGGTTAGCCTAAAGAATATAATACTTAGAAGCTAGCTGTTTATATTAAAGATTCTATAGCGTTAGACGAGTTCGAAGCTTAAGCGAAGCGCAAGCGTAGGCAGTAATTAAAACAAAAGAAAATAAAACTTAAGAAAAATAGTAGATACGTGCTCGTTTCGCTACTAAAAAAGGCTATTAGCCTAGTATGTATAAAGAAGGCGCCGCGTAGGCGCGGCGACGGCGGGCCGCCTACTCTACTTATCCTTAGAATCCTCCTTAGACTCCTCCTACTCGATGCCTATAGCGGCATCGACAGCGGCGACGGCGTTAGCGCCGACGCGCTAAGCGAGGTTCTAGTGCGGTTAGCATACGAAGCGCAAGTAAAACGAGGCTATAAGAAAAACTATACCTAACGACCGATCTCTACTAATCTAGCTAAGTTAGTGCCGATATTCTTAAGGGCACCGAGTAGGTTAACATCCGTAAGGGACCCGCTAGCGGCCCCCTTGCGGGCTAGGGCTTTGCCGCCTAGGGTTACCTTGTTCTTATTAATATAAAAGGCGTCGAGCGTAGATAGGATAACTAATATCGAGGTTAGTATACGAAGCGCAAGCGGAGCGTATAAGAAACCTACGTGCGACTATAGCGTCTAGGTTAGCCTAGAGTGCCTCTAAGGCCTCGTTAGACTCCTCGACGGAGTCGTAGCCGTCTAGATTGTAAAGGTCGCGCGTAGAGCGTACGGCGCGGATGCGGGCTAGTAGCGACACTAGCGCGCGTACTATAATAGGCGTATAGGTATAGTAGCTGCTACGGCAGCGATCGTAGTTACGCTTAGTAGCAGGGTCTATATTGCCGCCTATATAGAGCTTAGATAGGTTATCTAAAGCGAGTTAGTTGCGAAGCGTATATACGTAGCAAGGGGCGAGAAAACGTACTGTTAGCTATTATATGCCTAAAGCAACGAGTGCAGCCCTCTAGGACTTTTAGTAGGCGCTAGGTAGGCGTAGTAGGTATCGAGGGCGGAGCGCCTACGGCGCGCTTACCTAAGGTACGCGAAGGAGTAGCTATACTAGTAATGTTTTTTTTAGATAGATGTTTAAAAAAGAAAAAATCTTTAAGTAATACTAGGGGGGCGTAGGAGGGAAGTAGGCGGGGGGCAGGCGGGTAGTATTCGGAGCGCTTAGAAAAAGAAGAAGTTTTTAAGCGGGCTTCGAATGCTTTAAATACTCGCCTCGCTTTCGGACAGCTTGCGTTCTCGCGTAGCTACTCCGTTCTTAGAAATTTAGGCAACCTCTAGTTAGTACTAGAAGCAGCCGCGCTTTAAATCTATAAACAAACAAGCAACTACGAGGCAAATCATAACGTACCTAGCAACTATAGCCTAGCGACAGGTACGCATAAGACGCGCAAGTGTAGCGTAGAGTATAAGAAATAGTATGATTTACTATATTGCCCTATAGCTAGGATAGCTATACTAGGGGAAGGAGATAATTGTAAGAACCTAAGCAAGTGAAGTCTCCTATTATGCCTTAGTAAGCCTATATAACAATTATGTAATGTTATTACGTGCACTGCGGTACTGTCTCGCTAGCGTAAAGCCTGCTTAGCGCATACGCGGAAAAGCTCGGTCGCTCGTACGGATATACTCGGTTGCCGGCTCGGTATAGGTACTATCCGTACGTAGCCTAGTTAATAGTAAACGCTCTGCCCTATTCTAAGAAAGGTACGGTTTAGTTCTACTTTCTACTACGGCGATTAGTAGAGGGTGTTCTATACGTTGCTACATACCTATTTTCTTACACTTATCTAGGTAGTATACTAAGTAATCTATTTAGGAAGTCTACTGCTAGTTTTTAACTAGCTTCTAGGTAACTTATATAGAGTTACTAGACCAGTCTCTAGAATGTTTTTTAGTATAACTAAGTTAAGAGAATTCTATTTAAAAATCTAAAACTAGATCTAGTAAACAATAATAACCCTACTTGTAATAACTAACTCTACTTACTATTATCTACAAATTAGCTTTATAGCTAGTATATATCTATATATCTATCCTATAAGGAGAACAAGTAGTCTTTTAACTATTATAAAGTCTTTACTTAGGTTATAATTTATAAATTATAGGGATATTAACTTTTTAATTTCTAGCTCTACTATAGCTACTAGTAAATCCAAAGTCTAACTAGGTATAATTGCTATTTAGCTAATAAATTAGCTCTAGAAACTACTATACTAAATTTAGTATCTTTAATAGAACTAGACTAGAGTACGTATTTAGCGTATATAATCTAGTACTTAATATTTAAGTTTTAAATAGTTCTATTAAAAGACTTCCCTAGGCTAATTGCAATTTGTTAGTTAATTCCTTTACTTCGTCTCTTCTAGATAGATATCTAGCTAGGTAGCGTTAATGCCTAGTACCCTCTCTAAGCTGCTTCCCTTGCCTAATAGTGTCCCTTAGTTGGCGTAACAATACATTCTCGAAGGCCTTCGTCCGGCACGCATTGCTGTCTGTCTTGTACTAACGCCTAGACATTGGCTAGCTAATTTAGAAATTGTGCGGATATCTCGGGTCTTCTATGAACATGGACGCGCTCTTTCACCACTCCGGTGCACCTTTTCCACTCCTTTAGCCTCCCACCCAATGCGCCACCTCAGCCAGTTCTAGATCTGTTGCAACCACGATCGGGAGTAGCTCTTCCACAAGCTGACGCCCGAAGTCACTCACCCACCATTTGTCCCCCAGCTCTTGGAAAGTAGCTGCATACAACAAGCATATCGCCGAAGCCAGTGGGTCTCTGAAGCTAAGCATTTCCATAAATGCTGCCGGAACCTGCACAAGCCATGCGAGAATCCGAGATGGCTCGGGCTCATAGACTCTGAATAGGATCTCTAGATAATCCAATGTCGCCAAGTATATTGCTGTTGGATCGTCGTCGGAGTACAGTGGTGGGCTGCGAGGTGCTCCGACTTCCCAGCCATGTGTGTCTTTCTCCGAGTGCTGGTGATTATCAGGAGTGTCGAATTTGGCTCTGCGACGAAGCATTTCGAGCAGCCTTTCGGCTTCGGGATGTGGTCTTCGTAGTGGCTGCACCCACTCCGGCTGCCGAAACAGCATGTCGTATGTTGCTGCATCGACGAGATCTCGAGACGCTCGCAGAATTAACCATGTACCCTTCCATAGTTGAGACAGCTGCACCAAAGTGTCTGTCGCACGTGTTGCAGCAGTTTCTGGGTCAACTCCACGAAGACCAAGTGCAATGACTCCCAGTTTGGTGGAGCAGTGATATAAAGCTTGACAGTCCTCCGCAGTAAGATTCGCCAGACTGTGCCTATAGGAAGATAGAGCACGGGCCTGATACCGGACTGCATCTGCAACAAGTTCTCGCCGGCCTTCTTCGGGTCGCGTCTTTGCGATGTGCAGTGAAGTGATCGCAAGCAGCGTGTCGAGCAAGTAGTCGTGCCTGAACGCCAATTTGGGTACTTCGAACAATTGTGTAGGAGGACCTTGAGGGCGAATGGCCAGCGTCGCGTAAGTATCTGTCAGGTAGTGGTGCAAGAGCTCCATCTGCTTGAGATGCAGCTTATGACTGATTGTAATTCCATTGGCATGGTCCGGTATACCCGCTTCCGGGGAGGGGGTGAGAGCTTCCGCAATTTTGTACGAGCATTCTTCTTGTCGCCGCTTGCAATTTGAGCATGTCGGATGACGCTCATCACACTGCCGTTGTCAGTCAAGGTTCAGCAGCATGACTGCTTGTTCATTTACTGCTAACCTTCACTCTTCGCGCCTTGCACTGAGTACAACCAAGTCTGCTTTTGACGTGTGATTTTCGCTCGCCCATTCTGCCCACTTGTCCCGATGTCTTTCGGACAACCTTAGGGGCATGCTGGCTTGGAATGAGGCCTAGGAAACCGGAAGCCTAGTGATGGCGTTGATTGTCGTAGGAATTTTAGCGTTCCACTCTTTTGGGTTTCCTGCGGGACTGTCTCACTAAAATCCACTAATAAATGTTCCGATTATCAGATTATAGAAGACTCGGAAATGAACGGTTACTCGGGCTACGTAATTAGATTAGTATAGCGGCTTAAGGTAGTACTATTACTATTATTACTTTTCTATCTATAAGAACCTAATAAAAGTAAAGTCTCCTATCTAGCCTAAGTAGCTATTATATAAAAGTCTTACGTAAAATACGTAATTAAAAGCTAGCTATATAATTAAAACTAATTAAATAAGGAGTATAAAGTATAGACTATATTATAGAGTAATATAGAGTATAGGTATATTAGTTTTTAAAGGGGTAGAGATCGCGCTACTATAGTAGAAAGGCTTATAATAGCGCTTATATATAGCCTATCTCTTTCTCTAGCTACTTATAGGCTATATAAAGCTAAATAGAAAATCTAATTTTAAATATTTTTACTATAATATATTAATCTATAAAAAAAGTATTACTATTTAGGACGAGAATATACTAGACTTTTTCATATAAAATCTAATTCTATATTTTATTAATAACTAATCTATTTAGTTACTTTCTATCTATTACTACCTCTACTAATACTAATAATTTTATTTTTTTAACTTTAGTTTTCTAAGTTTAGATATATATTAGATATTTTCTTAAAAATATAAAACAATTAATTATTAGGCTAAAGATTAATTAGCTAGAAAGCCTAGAATAGGTAGGAATATATTTTATACTACTTTTAAAATTAACTTTATACTACTTCTAAAATTAATTTTATACTAGTTAATAGTATATACTTATAAATAGCTATATATAATTTCTATTTAATTTAAGGTAAGACTATTTTTTCAAACTTATATTTTATAATATTAGTAAAGTTTACTACTAGAGTCTAGATTTGTTAGTAGATCTTCTACGCTTATAGCAATCTTAGATCTCTTTATACTTAGTTAGTATAAGGGATAAATTATCTATTAGCTAAGCGAGTAATCTATATACTAGGGCTATAGAGAGAAATATACGTAAAATAGATTTATCTAGAGCTATCTTACCTACCTTTTTATTACCTATCGGTATAGGCACTTCCTCTTAGGCTAGAAAATTCGGGATAGAGTATAATCTTTGTTACGCTTAGAGAAAGCTCGGTATCTATAAAGGTACTATAAACATTAATAGGATGTATAGTTGCCGTATAGGAGGCGTATAAGCAATATAGAAAGAATAGAAAGACCTAACGAGGGTTTAGAAAAGTCGGACGGCCTACCAGCATTCCAAAGGCCGACGCCGATCGACCGTTAACGGTAGGGCTGCTAGAAGAAAAAAATTATCACTAGAAATTGAACCCCGAGGGCGGATAAATTTCTTCCCATTAATGGTCTAGATCTGTATATCAGACCTAACAAGTCCCGAAATGGCATCCTCATCTTCAGCTGTCTGCGCCAAATGCTCTCAAGCTCTGCAAGTCACGATCGACAACTCTCCAGACCATGGCGAAGATACCTCCATGAGCGATGATGGCAGCCAAGAAACACTTCCAGACGATGTCCGCCTTCCCTGCGGTGACCACTTCCACTGGGAATGCTTACTAGATTCCTACGAATTAGACAAATGTCCGGCCTGCAATCACAACATCATCACATCCTCACCATCGGCAAGCTCTTCATCATCATCACAGTCGCAACAGATCCTGGTCGACCTCAACAACGAAGGAGGTCTCCAACGACAAATCGACATCTTTCCATTACTGCAAGAAGAATCCTACCTCCGCGCTTATCCCGAAGAAAGGAAATCTCGTGCCTTTCTCGAATTCTGTCGCGAAGGTGATCACAAAGCCATAGCAGAATTGCTCAAAACCTGCCATCCCGATTCCGGAGACTACGACGAAGAGGATCCTAAATCTGCGAATGAGATTCTGAGATATCAGGATCCGATTGGCGATATGCAATCTGGACTTCACGCTGCAGCAGCGAATGGGCATAGAGAGGTGGCATGGTTGATTTTGCTGCTTGCGAGTGAATTGCCCGAGCTTCATTTTCCGGCTCTTGTTTTTCAGGAGGCTGCTGCTTTGGGCTTGATGCGTGCTGAGCAAGATGGAAAGGTGGATATAAGGAGTCTGAGGGATGCACAGGGGAGGACGGCGGAAGACGTTGCGGAGGAAGCGGGTGTGGTTTGGAATGGCTGGATTGGCAATGGAAGGTTGGCCTTGCCATGAGCCAGTAAAGATGGTCTCGGCATCACATGTCTGCATGGGATTATCGCACGTCAGATGGCGAAAGCGTTGCTGGACTTTCCACCATTGAAGCATTAACACCTTGCGGAACCCCGTTGCTCAGGCCGTAAACTTGTCGCTGCTCTGTTGAGATTTGAGGACATGATAAGAGGCAGAAAATTGACCTGTAAGTGGCCGAGCAAGCTTCGCGCAAAAAAAGACTGAACAATCCATGTACCAAATCCCAAAAATCGAGCGACAAGGAAGCTTTCCGTTATTATACTCTGCTGAGGAAGCTCTCGCCGCATCCGAAATATGTCTAACTAGGCATACACAAATGAAGGTCATCTCTGTCGATCATCTCTGTCGAGGCTTTCCTTGTCTTTTGTCTGTCTGTCTCTCTATGTTCTGGTTAGGGATGGAATGTCTCTTAGTGGACCACAACGCGCTCGTGCATCTCGCCAGTAGTATTGAAGACCGAGCCAAGTCACGAGTGCCAAGGGCTGGCAACGACTGCGATCGCTCTCCCAAAATGCTGTCTCGTTGCTATCCAGGGTTCCGTCACACACTCCTCCCCGCTGTTCGCGGGGGTTCCGGCCATACGTAAAATCGCTTTTTCTTAGTAGGCTACACGTAAAACTCGACATAGTGGTAGGTTCTAGTCCTATATAGATATCTAGGTGTATACAGTATCGAACCGCGAGTCTAGTTATTATATTAGCTAGTTTATCCGAGTATATAGTAGCTATAGGACCTTACTATCGCTATTTCTTATATAATCCTTAGTAGGCGCGTCTACCTTATTCTAAAGCGTGTATTCCTCCTATTTCTTATATTCTACTATATAGATTGTATATAAAACTTAGTATAGGGCGTAATAAGGGCAAAAACGTAAAAAGAGTATAAGCTAAGCGGTTAACCGAGGCAGAGAGGGTAGAGAGGGTAGTAGATCGCGTCGTTTCGAGGTACTACGAATTAGTAGCTAAATCGGATAAGAATAAGAATAAGAAGGTTAGTATTCGAGCGCTCTATAAGAGTAAGAAAGCAACTCGCCTATATTCTTATATCTACTAGTAGTTAAGAGGCCGTAGGTCGCTATTTAGTCGTCTATTAACTAATACTAAATTAGACGAGTCTTAAGAGATAGCGCTAGCGGATTATTATTAAGAGAGGGACGAAATAGGTATATTCTTACTAGTACCGCTAATTACCGTTATAGCGATAGACATACTAGTAAGCCTACTACTAGAAGGTATATCGAAGGATATAATACCGCCATTTAGTATAGACTAGGCGGACCGCTTTCTAAGGCGCTATAGACTTAGTAAGGTTAAGTCTAAACCGATTAAGATATAGCGGAAGGAAGCTTACGACCCTTCTACGATAAGGAGCTAGTTTAACCGTTTTAAGGCTATAATAAAGCGACTAGATATAAAGCCGCGGAATATATAGAATTTCGATAAAACTAGCTTCTAGGTTAGAATTAGTAGTAACGAGTATATCGTTATAATAGACACGAAGTAGCGCGCCTAGACCGAGTATAATAGCAACCGTACGTATATAACTATCGTCGAGACCGTAAACGCGTTTAGTAAGGTAGTAGACTATTAGTTAATTGTTAAAGGTATACTAGTCTAAGAACGGTAGATACCGAAGGAAGGTAAGTCTATTACTACTACTACTACTATTACTACTTCCGAGTCCGAGTCCGCTTCCGAGGCAACGATACCTACTAACTATACTAGGCAAGGACAACTTCTTAATTACTGTTAACGAGTCTAGATATATAACCGACGATACTATAATATATTATATCCGCTAGTTTAAGCGAAAGACGAGGCCTAAAGATCTAAACGAGTAGAGGATATTATTATACGACAATTACGGCTCCTACTACTTTAAGGAATTTGCAGCCTTTGCAAAGCGGTATAGGATTTAATTATAGGGCCTATAACTATATACTTTACACTTTATATAGCTATTAGATATAGTCCTATTTTAGGTATATAAGCTAAGGTATAGGCAAGCGGTATTAGAGGCTATATACCGTAGTATTAGTAAATTCGGAATACCTAAGTTTGTTAATACACTCTTAGCTATTCGGGCTAAGACATTTACTTTATATAATATAAGGGCGGCATTCCGGAAGACAGGCATATTCCTAATTAATAGGGAGGTCCCTTATAAGTATATTCGAGATTAGTATAGGGCTACTAACTATAATTAGAACTAGTAAGCAATTAAGAGCGAGTTAGTATAGGAAGAAGCCCGGTATAATAAATTGCTAGTAATAGTAGATATAGCTTAGTAGGAGCATATCGCATTAGTTAAGTAATAACGTTCCGCGGAGCCTACTATTATCGATCTAGAAGGCTAGTCGTACGCTAATAGTCGCTACTACCTTAGGGATCTCGAGAACTTAATCGCTTAGGGTATACTATCGTTACTACCTCTACTACCTTAGCGAACGCCGACCCCCGGATTGCCGTAATAGCTCCTAGATACTTCTACTAGCCCTCGTACGATTAAGGTATCTCGTAGTACTATATAAGCTCGCAAGGACTTCCGACGGTCCTATCTAAAACTAGCCCTATAGCTAAGGCTATAGGGTATCGATCCTATATTACTATCGTTTAACCTATTTTCTTCGTTATCTATAAAGCAAGCAGAAGAGGCCTATAATATATTAGTTAACGCGGCTATCTATAAGGGTAAAGAATACAAGCGCAAATACTAATCTACGAGTATTATTAAGCGAGCAAAGAAGCGGTAGAAGGAACAGCCTAATCGGCTTATTCGAGTAGGTACTATCGAGGCAAACGAATTGCGCTTATAACTTACTTAGTAAGATAAGGACATAGCTAGCAATAGGTACTAGAAGATGCTCCGCGAGGCGAAGAGTACTTATAATAGAGCGCGCGGCTATCGATTAAAGTATAGTAAGGCCTTCTATATTATATTTAATAATAATAGTAAGACTAAGTAGATAGACGTCGAGTTATAGTCTAACGATAAGCTACTACGATACGTCTTCGACAAGCGCCTTCTTACTACCGATAACACCTCTACCTTAAAGAAGACTAGTAATCTATACGCCGACATTCTTAGCAATTATAAGCGATATACTTATATATCTAAGAACGGCGAAATTATATATATATAGAGCCTAATAATAACACTGTGTTTACCGACTCGTACCTACGATTACGAAGGTAACGGCGACCTTCTAATATAGACTAACGTTAAGACTAAGCGGCGATTAAATAGCCTATTCGCGTAAGAGCCTAATACTCGACTCGACTAGTTATAATAAGACGAGGCGCTACTTAACAAAGATACTATATATACTAATATTTAGCCTTACTTAGTATATCCTCGCCGCCGCTACGAGTTAGTATAGCGAAAGCGCTATTTCTACGAGCCTTCGAAGAAAACTAGCCGCTATCGAGGCGAGGTCGCTAGTAGCAACAAGGACAATCCTATTAAGCTAGAAGAGTTTTAGGATAGTAGAGTAAGTAGTTAACTATAGTAACAAGAGGTAGAGATAACATAATAGACATATAGACCGACTTCTAAAGTAATTAATTACATAATTAACGCGAGGTATACGCAGAGGCCGACTATAGGTCTATTTTATTTATCTATAGTCGCAATTTAGTCGCTATTAAAACGGCAATCTACTGCTTCTTAACCCTAATCGTATACCTATTTAATTTCCCGGTCTATATACCCTACAATATACTATAGTGTCGAGTTTTACGTATAGCCTACTAAGAAAAAGCGATTTTACGTATAGCTTAAATCCCCGAGCCTAGGGCGAGGGGTAAAGTAGGCTAACGCAACCCCGGATATAGCGGAGTTATTTGTTAGCTTTCTCTATAGCTCCGACCGATATTATACTTCGCTATCTATACTTGTCCCTCGTTTCCTATCTCCTATCGAATTGATCCTATAACGCATTAGCTTAGTTATATAATTATTATATAACTTCTTAGTATAAGAAGGATTTTCATACTGCTTTTAGAGTATAGAATAGCAAAAACATAAGTAATAAACTAATTAACTTATTAAACAAGGGCTCTTAATAATATAGTATTACGTACGTAATTAACTACGCTAAGCGTAATAGATCCGGCCTCTTCGGATTTAGAGAAGTCGAGATCTACTATCTCCTATTAGACCCTTACTAAGAGCGTACGAGCTACTAGTTTATTTATAAGCCCCTTACGTAGTAAGGGCCTAATAATAAAACTAGCAATCGGGTTAGATTTAAGATCCGTAATTTGCGACTTTATATATAACGCGCGTCGCGATATATATTAATATTTTATAATATAGGCGTAGAGTAAGTAATCGGCTTTAATTCTATCTAAGAATTATATTAATACGACCTTAGGTTATTTCATTATAGCTTATAAGCCGAGGGTACTACCTAGCTAAAAGCCGGCTTTAGTAATAGACTTAGTCTTAATAAACAACCTATTTTAAGATATAGCCTATATAATATAGAAATACCTCGAGGTCCTAGTAGTACTTAGACCCCGTAGTAGTTCGGTTTCCGAACTACTAAACGTATATAGTTTGGTTTCTTAGCGGCGAACTAGCTCCCTAGTTCCGGTTTAGTTTTTTTAAACTATATAGATTCCTAGTTTAAACTAGAGACTATATTAGTTTTACTATAAAGATACTATTATTCGACTACTAGCTACGATTGCCGGCTATAATAGTAACTAGGTTATATTTACTACGCTCTATTACCGTTAATAGGGCGTAGTTACTATTACTAGGGCGTAGTTGCCGTTACTAGGGCGTAGTTGCCGTTACTAGGGCGTAGTTACTATTACTAGGGCGTAGTTGCCGTTACCGGGCCGTAGTTGCCGTAGTTGCGAAAGCTTACTTGTATAACGTTACGTAGACGGTAATAATTAGGGCTTCGCGATACTCTTATACCTTTTTACTTCTTCCTCTATACCTATACCTATAGTAACTACTATACG